AACCTTGTTTGGTATACTATATTCAAATATTTCCATCTGAAATAAAAGTAAATATTTGCTTAATAATTAAGCCATCACTTTCTTCACTATATTATCCAAAATAAACTTTAGAAGTCTGATTTGTAGTATTTTTAATTTGGACTTTATGAAGTTCATGTACTTAAGTTAATAAAAGTGTTGTTTTCCGTGCAGAAGTTCATCATAAAATTAATTTATTGATCACAAGGCACAATGAAGAATTTAAGATTTACTAGAAATAAATCCCAGTAGAGATCCATTTAAACCATTATTTAGAAACAGAATGCTTCCCTACATTGACAGCCATTTCTCAGAGAGAGAGAGAACCCTGCTAATTCAAACTACCATTGATAGGTAAAGGTGAAGTTTAACGCGGATAAAGACTGGAATTTTTAAATGAAAAAAAAAAAAAGATTACCTCCTCTAAATCTACAGGAAACTATCAAAGTGTTCAATTATTAAAGTTTTTAGACCTGTAGTAATTAACAAAAGAGGATTGATTCCATTAAACAGGGTGTCAATGATATATATGTAAACTGATAGTCTAAAACGCCTGAAAGTATTTTCTTAAATTGCTATTCCCCTTTAATTTACATTATTAATTTGTACTTTAAGAAAGTATTCTGTTGACCAAAAGTAAATTATCGCCCAGATGTTGCTGAGTTCCAAATTTCCAATTTAATAAAATCCAAATTCAAGAGATTTTGGAATATCCATAGTTTGTTGCAAGGGAAAAAAACCTTAACTACATGATGGAGGAATCAGATCTATAACACCATAAGCTAGTGATCAATTTTAGCATTACTATTGGTGGGTTAAACAGATGTTGTTACATACTTTTTTTTTAAACTGTTGTTACATATTTACCTAAGAGGCAGTAACACCACCCATGCTGCATTCCATTGCAAAGTGTTTAACTTGAATCCATAAAGCTTTTATACAGTGTTTGCATTATAGGAAATACAAGGGATAGAGAAATGGGCTAAATAACACGACAACAAATCATCAGACAAATTGAGAAGCTGAGATTTTCTGAGAACTACTGTTTCCCCAACAACTGTTTCTTCAACAAGGGACTTGGCTGGATAAAAAAAGACTAAAGGGACACATCATGCAGATGCAATGGGTAATCCTAAATTGGGTCTAGTCTAGACACACCAGCTGAGAAACATTTTTGGGGATCACAAATGGGAATGTGGTCTGGTTATTAGATCAGATAAAAAATTTCTGAAATGGAAGGATGGAGATCAATGACTGAAAAAAGCGAGTTGAAAAGCTGTAAGTAAAATGTGATTTTATACTCTCGATCTGGTCTGGAAATTTTGTATGTTGACACAGAGGAAAAAGTCTACGTTGTAATAGTGACGATCTCACGTGGTAAGAATGTGATCATTTTATTGTTTGCTTATAGTATTTTCTAAATTTCTACAATGCGAATGTACTGCTTCTGTAATAATAAAAGACTAGTTTTAAAACAAAGTCTATGGAAAATTTATATAACTTTTTTATATCAATAGATCCATTCATCATCATCTATTACTCAAAATTTATAAAAGAGACAGATACTGAATTGAGTAGAATCCAAGGGAGGCTGGAGGTTTAAAAAAGGTCTCAACTTGAATTCTTCGATTATTTATGATGATCTGATTTAATCAAGGTACATTTAGCATCTTCCATGTCATTTTCACATACAAAATACTGTGCATTAAAATGTTGTCTTAACTTTTTTTCACTAGAGGTATCACAATTAGCTCAGGCTAAACGTATTAGCTCTTCTGACTATTAGCTCAGGCTAAAACGTATTTTGCTAAATAAGCTCACAGAGCATAAAGGAGTCTAGGTGCCTTTGCATAATAATCAGTTTCTTTTTTACCAGGAAGGGTCAAGCTTAATGGTTTTTAGGATCACCACTATATATGCAAATTGGATTCCTACAAAATAAGTGGCCATTTTAGAATGTACATAGTCACACTCTGATTGCCTCAGAAGTGAGTCAACGAACATGAAGTGTCATTTTCGCTAAGAGCCCTCAATTTCTTTTTGAGTGTGACACCACCAATTGTGTATCATTTCTTTTAAAATTATTTAAGTTGTATCATTTGAGAATTGTTTACATTTTAAATTTAAGGCTGCTCTTTTTAAAAATCTAGCTTTTTTTAAAAAACAAAATTATCTGGCACATTTAACCATTCTTTATTTATATTTGGGTTATTTAGATCTGGAGATTAAAATGTCTGAGTTTGAAACCTACCACTTACTCATTATGTAACCTCTGGCAAGTTACCCAGAGTAGCCAAGCCTCAGGTCCTTTAGTCTATAAAATGGAGAAAATAATATTTATACCTCACAAGGTTACGGTCAGATGGGATCATGCTTAGAAACCTGCCTGTCACCGTGAGAGCTCAATAAATATCCACGACAGTGATGGCAACTCTCACATAATCCTGACATGCTCTTCTTGTCCTGTATGTCCTAATACTATCGAGGATGCTGTCCACATAGATGCCCCATGAGCATCTCAATCTTACCGTAAGTAACAGAACTGCTGCTCCCTGCCCTTTGACCTGCTTCTCTCCAGGGTCCCTATCTCAGTAAAAGGTACATTATTAACCTAGTTACTCAAGACCTGAGACTAGGAGTCATTTTCACCTTTTTTTTTTTTTTAAACCCACCACCTCCATTTTCTATTAGCTCTATTTTCAATAAATTTTGAATCCAATCACTTCTCACATGTCTATTGCTACCAAGCCAGGCCAAGCCAGCATCACCTCCAGCCTGGGCAACTGCAAAGGACTCTACATACAGCTCACTGTTTTCATGCTTGTCCTAGTCACCCACCTCAGTCTGTTTTCCACCCAGATGCCAGAGTGAGTCTTTAAAATGTACACCAGATGATGTCACTTCCCTTCTTAAACCCTCCAATGGCTTCACACTACACTTAGAACAAAATCTACCCCTTTCCCATGCCCAAAGGCCCCTCAGTGGTCGGGCTTCTGTCTCCCTTCTCTCCCAGCACCCTCCTCCCCACTCGCTCCTCTCCAGCCACACTGGCTTCCTTTGCTACTCCTCGAGCACCTTGAACTTGCAAAACACACCTCTGCCTCTATATCTGTCATCTTGCCAGTCCTTCAGTATGAGGGCTTCCCGCCGCATTAGTGAAATGGCTCACGTCTCCACCCAAACATCTGGCTTTTCTGACCACGCCATCAACAGAAGCACCCCCAGAGCTCTGTTTGATTTTCCTTCATAGCACTGTTCGCACTACAGTAAGTAGTATCTTATTGTTAATACTTATATACGTAATAAAGATAAATATTTAACATATAAGTATATGTAAATATTTAATATATAAGGATCTATTATACGTGTGTAAATTTTATGTGGCCTATACATAAACTCCACAGAGGTAGAGATTTTGTTTTGTTCACTGCTGAATCCCCATTGTCAAGAACAGTGCTTGGTACCTTAGAGGTATTAAAGAAATACTTCTCAAGATACAGAGACTTTCCCTGTTGGTAAGTTGGCTTGGGTTTAGCCAAGTACTCCAATCACTACTAAAATTAGCCCTAAACAAAAGGAGTAAGCAGGGTTGGTACATAGAATTAGTTCTCCTACATTCCATTTATTTTGCAGAATCCTTACAGATCTAAGTTTGAAAATAGGGGTCACCAAATTATTCTTACTCAGGAAAACCAGCAGCAATCTAGCAGGAAAAAAAAATTCTTTTTATTTCAGCGGATTGCTAGAAGGAAAAAAAATGTTTTTTAAGCTTCTGTATTTAAAACAATTAAGTGATTACTTACTTGGTTGAAATATTTGTAACAAAAGAAACGAGAAAAAAAGTTTTCCCTGGTTATATTTATTACTACACGGTTCTGTATAAAGAAGTTACGATATTATGAGATAAAATTGTTTAGACTTAAACAAAAGGAAAAAGTTACATCAGAGTGTTAATGAACTAATAAAACCTTTCATAACAATTCCTAACAATTCTTTTGTAAAAAGTCCCAAACCTTGGCTCTAAAATAATAAATATGTGAGACTTAAATTTACCATAAAAATAGTCACTTTAACCTACTATATACCTAAATTATGATAGACATTAGGAGCCATAGAAAATAATTTTACATTATCATGTAACTATTGAATTCAGTCACTACAAAGCAGTATACGAGTAAAATTCCAGCAGGTAAGTCTCTGAACTTCTATCACTTTATCTATGTTTCCTTACAACACATCACTTTTTTGGACACAGGATTTCTGTCTGTTTCATCTTTGCCGTCTCCTACGAAGTTAGCACAATGACGGGGCTACTTGGTGGACCATTTCTGAATGGAAGAATGAGTGATGCTGAGGGGTAAAGTTGGGGAATGATGGCAGTAAACACTGCACAAAGGTGACAGCAGATGTCTACCTGAGAGTTCTAAATGAGCCCAGTTAGTGCTTTTTTATATTCTATCCTGTGAGGGGAAAGTATAGAGAGTTAGATAATACAAGTGGTTTCCCTGTGTTCTATTTTGCTTCACAGTATTTATCACAACTGTCATGAAGCCATCATTTGGTAACATCTGTCTTTTCTGCTTTCAATTCTAAGGGAAACAAGCTGCACGTCTATGGCTTCTCAGAGCCTCATCGTCTCACAATAGGAGGGGCCCAATACATATATTTTTGAATCAACAAATGCAGTTAGGGCTGTGCCACTGCACAGGGCCCCCTTCCGAGCTGAGTCTTCCAGGCACTCACAGCTTCGCAGAGCCTCACAATTCGTTTTTCAGTGGTTTTAGAACGCACAGTATTTCACATGCATCTTACAATTAATAGTACCTTAGCATCCTGTGTCGTTTAATTGGCAGCATTTTTCCTTTCTGAGAATTATGTAAAATGACATTGTTTTAATAAATAATGGTGTTTTAGAATTAAGGAAAGAGAGTTATTGCTCATTCCATCTCAATATGGAAAATATAAAAACTTCAAGTACTTACGTCGATTAAATCTGAAAGATCATGAATATAATACTTGAAAACTGAGGCGTTGGTTGCTTCAAGGGTTAGGAGATACTCATTCCGTGCCTTAATCGATTTTAGCTTATTTTCCGAATACTTGGCTTGTCTCTGGAGATGAAGAGGATCCAGGCATTGGGAAAGACAATAGAGTCATTTTTAAACAAGACAGGGAAACATACATGAATTTCTGTTCATCTAAACAACTTATTCTACATATACAAATGACCTTCCAAGTTCTCTGAGAAAAGTACATTTTTTATCTGATTTAAATAAACTAAAATTACCCAGTGACAGGGAATAACAACAACGCTCTCTGGGCACCAGGCCCATGTGCAATGAAATCTCTTTGTTCATATTCAAAGTTCTCCACATTGTGTACTGAATACTTGGCATTTGCCATGAAATGATGTCCAGCTGTTACTACATGATTTTTACATTTCTTAAGCATTTTTTCATTCCCGTGGGAGGAAACACGTCATTCTGCAGTAATTTACAACATGTGTCCATTTGCTGTTGCATCAGTGTTCCCAGGTCTGTCACCTCAAGGGAGGAAGGACTTACTCACCTTTTCCTTCATTTTTTCTATTTTCTTTACAGAGCTTCGCCGCTGGTGTCTCTCTTCCAGTCTAATGTGGAAGACTGGGTCACCAGATCTGCCAATTTGCTTCTCTTCTTGTTTCTCAGCCTCCTTCAGCTTGCTCTCTGCACTGATGCTCTCTGCGTGGTACATATGGTATGTTTTCATCACCTGTGAAAATGTGACCCAGATTGTTAAAAGATGTCTGTCCGTAACTTAGTGAATGGAAACCATTATATGATGTGTATGTTAAAAAGATCACGTTCCAACTTGCAGGGGGAGATGAATTTTTAGTAAAATAGATAAAGTATGTACTATTCCTTCTACATAAAGCAAACAGAAATATGTAAATTTACCTGCCAGGAAGAGGCACTTAGGGATAGGCTTTGATGAAAAAAATGATTTACAGAGTCTTGTGTGTGCTTTCGGTGTACTTGAAAAGTTCCCTTAAGCTTAAAAGTGTTTCTCTAAAATCTCCTCTGCATTATTAATTTGCAGAATAAACCATTATTCATGGATAAATTTTAGCCCAATCTTGGAATGACAAAAACTCCAAATAAGTATAGCCCTTATTCAAGGAACTTTATTGTGTAAAATCTACCTGTCAAATTATAAACTGTAAATCTCAAGGTTCCTACATGGTTTTAGTTAAAAAATTGTTTTTATGACCACAGAGTAATACTTTATGTTCAATGCAGAAAACATGATACAAAAAAGAAAAGAAAAAGCAAGTAGAAAATAAAATGCCTGAAAGTTTGGTATACAGCTGTCCAGTCTTTTTCTTACGAAAACAGATACACACACACACTTCTTCATTTTAAAATGATGTATATCTAAACAACAAGGTCCTACTATATGGCACAGAGAACTATATTCAATATCTTGTAGTAACCTGTAATGAAAAGGAATGTATATATATAGCTGAATCACTGTGCTGTACACTAGAAACTAACACATTATAAATCAACTATACTTCAATAATAAAGTAATGTGTATCATTTCTCCTTTTAAAAAATCTGAATCAGTCTAAATTTACAATGTTTAATATCCTACATTCTTTCCCATGACATATATCAGAACATTTTCCTATAGCAGAAAATATTACTCCACAAACATAATTTTAAGGGCTGTATAATATTTCTTTATAAGACTGTGCCATAACTTAATTCCCTATTATTGAACATTTTAAGGTATTTCAAACTTCTTGCTTTTTATAAACAAAGCTGTGCTGAAAACCCTTCATGTATGCCATATCTTGTTTCTTCTCTTATAAATGATACATATAATTTACATTTTAACAGATTTACATTTAACAGATAACAGGAGATAAAATTTTATAATGTATCTTTTCCATGTATATTGTAAACATATAATCAATTCTCAGTTTAAAAAATTTTTTAACTTAAAAATTTTTTTAAATTTTGAGACCTTAAAAATCTTGGTTATATTATTGTCACAGAAATGTTTGTGCACAAAATTGTGTCATATTTCTGACAATACGTTTCCAGAAGCAGGATTGCAGGGTTAGAGAATCTACACATTTTTTAGGCTTATAATACAAATGGCCAATTTAACACTCTGCTCATTTGAAAAAAAAACCCTGATCTATAAAGTTATTTCCCAAAGCCCCTTAGATCCCACAGATGCTTAATAAACATTCTCAAATAATACAGGATTTATTATTTATTTTTTTATTAATATCTATTACATCTATATATAATCTCTGTATTCTTAGATACAGAAGAGTAAGTTATAGATTTTCAGAGATTCTACCTGAAAATCACAGTTTTCCAATATAATTTCAATTTACTTTTATATATAGAGTCAGACATCGGGGCTACTTCTGAAACCTGTTTAGTTTGAGCACAACTATAATCTCTGAAAGAAACAACACACAGGTGTGATGACGCCAATGCAACCGACGAATCAAGGACCACAGCAGAACTGAGCACCCGAGGAGTCAGCAGCGGCACTTTCTCAAAAATTATGCCATGTTCTCATCCACATAAAATAGATTTAATTTCATTTGTAAATTATTAAGTTTTTCAGAGCCAATTTTATAACTAAGATACAGTTGTGTTAAAAAAGAGATCAATGTAATGTTTTAGAGTAAGGAACCTGATTTTTTTTCTCATTTCAAAAGATGAGTTTTAAAATAGTTAGAGGACCAGAAGTATCACTGGAATAAATATATTTATTTAGGCTCAACCCAATTGTTGTTTTTGTAGGTTATATGAAGAAGGTAGAAAATCTGTACTTTCTTATGGTTCAACGTAACACACATTCTCAAGTGACTATTTTGAAGCGTAAAAAACACGGGGTTAATGAATAGCATTTACTTATTTTCATAAAATCTGCTGATGTTTCTCCTTAAAATTATAAGTTAGCCAATCATGTTAAAGGCATTGCTGAACACGGCCAAAGTAAGAGCTAAACAGCAAAGTCGTGGCGGCTTTTTCTGAGCTGTGTGTAATTGCAAAGTTGTCTGTTTTTTCAGTAACTACCAGACCTGTCCAGGGTTAAGTTTGGTCGACTACTCCAGCATAAAAGAAAAATAAAATCGCATTAAGAAGCAGCTGGGCAGCTGGGGAATGAAAAGGGAGTCACCCTGCAGCTGGGCAAACAGCGAGGTCAACGCATCTACCACACACCTTGCATTTCTAGGCTTGGCTCTATTTATATTCCCAGCCTGAAGCAAACCCACATGCCATTTGGGTCTAGTTACATCTTTAAGTGAGAGGGTGAAAAAAGACTCTCTCTCCAACACACACACACACACACATGCGCACACGCACACATACACAGAGAGTTGCTCAGTTATCTTCTTGAGAAGGCAGGAAGGAAGAAATGAGAACACATGACTCCCATCATAGTTAGATGAAACGCATCCTGGACAGACAAGGGTATCTGAGAACCCTTTCTTTCAAATACATCGTGAAGAAAAGACCTGACCTGCCTCCTGCTTTTCTTAGATGCAGAGGCCTAGTATAAGCAGGTAATTTGCACAAACTAAGCCAATGAACCAGGGATTCTGAGCTGGCTTGCCAGCGGTGGCGTTTCTTATTAACTAGTCGGTGTTAGAAAAACGTCTGAGTCTGACCTAACACTAGCAAGAAGAGGCTGTAAATACCTCATCATAATGTGGTTCAGCACAAGAGCTGAGGTTCTCCACTGGGTTCAATGGTAACTTCCAGAAAAGAAATTTCTTTGTTCGTTTTTTTTTTTTTTTTTTTCCCAATTCAACTTAGGGCTTCCACTATTCTCTAAAATGTTAACGGTGACAATGAATGAATTTTAAAAGTTGGGGAGAAAAACACTAAAAGCTTTTTGAGAACCCTAATTGCAGATAATGAATGCAAGTACAAACTGCATTATTTAAAACGTAAGCTGTTGACAGAAGTTAAATGGGTTTTGTATTTAAAATAAAATAACAGACAGTTCTCTCTTCTTCAGAGAAGTAAAAGAAAGCTTTTGAATATATACTGCAAAGAAAATATCAGCTTCTCCATCAGCTTAATGCACACGCAAGCCTTTGCATACCAAATGACACAGAGGCAGACATCCATTCAAATGTACTCCACCAGCGTATTTTCCTGTTTGAATTCTTCTCTACTATAAAACCTCATGCATAATTCTCCAGTGAACGCACTCAGTTTCTCTCTCCTGCTCCATCTTTAACTGCGGGAAGAATAGAGTCAAGTAGAAAGTGACCACATCAAGGATTTCTTTGTGAGACTGTGAAATTCTGTATTAAAAACTTTAGGACAGAAGCTGTTAATATTTTTTTTTCCTTACTGACAGGCCTGCATAATGGATCAGACACTACTCTTCTACTTTAAATCAAAATAATTAAAATCTCTATAGTAAGTTTCAACATTTGGCATCAAGAAATCACTATGTATCTGAAAACTATCCCTGTGTTGGCAAAGATCAGTGGATTAAGAGTATAAATTCTACTTTTTTGACTTCTGGCTCAGAAGTCAGAAGTTGTGGTTCCGGGAATGGCTCTACCAGTTACTAGGTGCAGGGAGTTATTTAACGCTTCTGTTCACCCTACAAGGCTACCCAATTGTGCATCCCTTCACGTGGGAACAACTGAAACTTGACTGAGTACTTACTACAAATTTGTGTACATATATATGTATAAAACCTATGCTACTAATATATATGTGTATATGTATGTAATATGTATATATTTATCTAAACAAGCATTATATGATGCCTACTATGTGCTATTGTTCTAAGCATTTTACAAATAATAGCTTTTTATTTAACCCTAAAAACTCTTGTGAGGTAGGTCCCTTTATACTCCCCATATTGCCAGGAGAACAGTGAGGCGCAGAGAGGTTAAGTAAGATGCTCAAGGTCACACAGCTGGTAATTGGCAGAGCAATGGTTGGCACTCCAGCAGTCTGGCTCCAGATTCAGTGCTCTGGACTGCTATGCCCTGACCTTTGCAGAGTCTAGAAGCATTATACAAACAGAGGCATCTTTATCTGGGGGGTGGGTAGAGTTCCTCTTGGTCATATTTAGGAATGGAGGAAAAGAAGGCATGAAAGAAATTATTCAGTCATTCAACATTTACTTGGTGCTTACCACCTGTGAGGCAGGGATGGGTGTGAAAACCAAGACTTGGTTTCCATCTTCTAAGAGTTGAAATTTTTGGAGATTAAAAAAAGTGGGCCTTGGAGATGCTCATGGACAATGATGAAGGGAGAGGGCATTCGGGCCAGAAGAACAGCATCAGCAAAGATATACTGGGGATGGGGAACCACACAGGTGGGGCAGGCATGGGGAGACCAAGGCGGCAGAGAAGGGGGTCCAGGGAAGTGGATGGTGGGGTAAGTGAGCTGAAGAGTGAGACTGGAGAAGCTGGCAAAGGCCAGATGAGGAGAGCCTGACACCCGAACTGAGAAGGACAGGAGTTATCCTGCAGGGGTTGGTGAATCCGTAGAAGTGTGAACGGTATGGTCAAAGCAGTATCTGAGCAGTAATCTGGTGAAGAAGATAGGCAGGGTGTTTTGGGGTGTGAAGTGACCTCATTTGGACGAAGAAGAGGGAATGGAAAGGGGGAAAGAGAATCCTGAATGACAGCCACAGGGCTTTTTCTCTCTGTTCTCACTCTTTTTCTTAAACTTGACAGGACTCCTTCCACCGCGGAGTTCAAATGC